AAAAAAAAAAAAAAAGAAAGAATTATTATCCAAAGCATGTGGCAATTCTGTCAAGCATTCGCTGGTTCAATCTTTTCTCCTTTAGTTGGTGTGTGGATTTCTACTTTCAAACACTAGCCAGTCCACTGGCTCTTTTTGTCAGGTTCTACCTTGTTTCCGCACCACGGCAGGAATGTGTGCTTGTGCCAAAGTGGTAGATGGGGGGCGGGGCATCAGAGAAAGGGGAGGAGTGGAAATGGCTTCCTCTCCTTCAACTGATTTAGGGCGAGTGGAGGGGTGGAGGGGTAAAGAGGGTCAGGATATCAGTCTTTAGCAGGGAGGGTCTCTAAGCAAATCCCTTCAAGTTCTCTTTGGGTAGGCATTTCATCTCCAAGGGTGGGTTTGGACTGGAGGGGGAGGCGGTATGGGAAGAAGGGGGACTAAAGAGTCTTCACTGGGATCGACACAATAATGGCAGAAGCAGAGGAATCATGTCACTGCCGCTCACTGTTCTATGGACAACAGGGAACCCCGGGGAGAGGAACACGCTTGCGTTCTCTACAGAACCCTGCAGGGATGTTCGGTTCTGATGGGACACACAGAGATGCAGCTGGAGGGAATCTCACTGGGCGTGGTCTTCTTCTCTAGTGCAATACTGCTTTGATTATTTCTATCTCTAGCACATTGTCTCTTTCCAGTATGAGTAATTATTTTTCATATGGATGAAAGGAATTACAGCTTTCTTTTGATGAACTGATATTAAAAAAAAAGATTCTAGTTAAGAATGCTCCCAAAAGAAAAAGAAACAATTCTTCTAACACCAGCCATTAAAAATTATTTAGATATTTTTCTGTCTTTAAAGAGAATCACAGACATTTTGCTTATTTTGGCAGAGTGCATCAGTGCACTGATCAACACCAAATGCTGCCCCCAGTTTCTTTAATTGACCTCCTCACATGCCCTATCTAAAACATCCAGAAAAAATAATATTTCAAGATAAAAAATCATCTTTTATTTAATCCTCTTTAAACAGTACTATGTCTGTAAGACTCTGAAGCTAAAATCAAGGGAAATTTTTAAATGAACAGTCCATTGTAATTTATTCAAAGGCTCTACCTGGTCACGTGGGAAAGAAGCAGCAGCCAACCTGATAGGGCTGGAGAGAGAAGCCTCATGTACTCCCCAGAGTAGAATATCCCAGTTTCTGATTGGAGCTTCTCCCCAAATTACCAATTACTACATATTGTATACAATAACAAGATTATAATTTCCAATATATTTTTCCCTTCAGCTATTAGAAACCATGTTTGGGCAAAAGAAGCTATTGCAAAAAATGAGATTGCTTTATGTAGTATATGAATAGGCTTGTCTACAGGAGAATTGAAGTATGAAAGGAATGTTCTTTAATTGAAAACATGACTGCGAGATACGTTCAAACAAAATTCAGCCACTGGTGGTGTGATCGTATCTACAAGCAAATATTCTCTACTACTAAGAGGTACTACTGAGTACCTCTTAATTACTACCATATATCATGTTACATGCTTATGAAACAACCATATTTGGTAAAGGACAAATTACCCAAATAAATATATGTGGTTCATTTATGACAACATGCCTCAGTAAAAAGCCTTAATTAAACATGCTTTGGAGGGAAGATAGTCCATCCTGATTAAAATTAAACCACCCACCCTAATTTGCTTTTGATTAGAAACAGAAAAAGTCCCCTGCAAGAATTATGTACCTATCACGTGACTCTTCGGTAGAACATTTGTCAGTTACTGAAATATAATCATTCTCTCACCTCTGTAAAGTGCACAGATTGTACTGAAGACTTACCCTACATGAAAATGAATGTATCCTAGTATACAATTTCAGTAAAGCGGTTTAGCAACTAACCATTTTTTTAAGTGACAATTTTTCAGGATAACTTTTCCAGTAAACTTTTGTAGTACAAATGAGAAAATCATGTCCCTGTCAGGTTTTCAGGGCTATTTCAGTAGCCATAGGATCTATTTCTCTGAGTATACATGTAAATATCCAGAAAGTTGAGAGACAGAGAGAGAGAGAGATCGAGTACACAGAATTTATGAGTGTTTAATGCCTGGCAAATTGAAGCATGTCTTGTTAGGTGTTCTACAGATTGATCTCATCACTTTTCTTAAACACGGATTTCACTGATTCTCGTGGTTTACTTTATAGGTAAATTTTCTTCTAAGCAGAATTTGGAGATCTACTGGGGCTTGGATTACTCTCCAAAGGGCACAAAGTTTCATAGTGTACTAACATCCCACAAACATTCAAACTCTGGCCTGTCTGGGCATTTCTAGGTGGGCTGATGTTTATAGGGTTTGTGGTTAACAGCTCAGGAGAGCAATCTGTCAGACACCATAATAAACCCTGCCAGTCAACCGGACAGGGAGGCTCTGGGCCCCTCCCCCAGCCCACCCATAACTCATTCATCCCCTTAACATCAAATGTCACAAAGCTCGGAACCCTTCCCCATCCCAAAGCAGAATGTAAAAGGGATGTTACCTGGCTGGGTTTAAAGTCCACATAAGTTGCTTGCAGATGGCTTTGACCTGGAGGCTGAAGAAACGCTAACTTCTGCTGCTGTGAATTATATCCCAGACACTGCCCCAGGGCTGCCCCCAAGATCCACAGCCATCCGGAGCACCTGGCTGACCACCTCACTGCTGGGGGCATCCTGGTCCCTGGGCGTCCTGCTGGCTGCACGCAGACCTCTGCCTCTTCCTCTTATACCTGCCCTTCCTGCTCGGTGCCCAGGCCCGCCTGACTCAGGTGAGGCAGGCTGTCTGCGGCAGGAGGCCCCACCTGTAAACTTCACCCATGAGTCAGCCTGTGAGAGAGCACACATAACAGTCCCACAGGGAAGCATGCCGCTCTGTAATTCCTGAGAGGTAGGGCAGGCATCACCTTCTACCCACCTTACCCTGCAGACGGCACTAGCCGATTAGAGCCGCTGTAAATCACAGGCTGAGTCATGCGCAAAGAACACGCCCTGGGCAGGAGGCTGGTAATGGAGAGCTTCCACTCCTTCCCTGGGGCTAGGATTTTATTTAGGCGGGCTAGAAAAGAGATAGGAGGAAGAGGGAAAGAAGAAGGAAGGCACCTGTGGACTAAAGGTTACAAGACCGAAGTCTCCAGAAAACCAGGACAGGTCATCTATTTGAGGTTAAAAAAGGAACTTGCACGCAGATCCCCTGGGGGCTTCCTGCTATGGGGGGGTGAGGACAGAAAGGGAAGGATGTTGCTGAATGTACACACACCAGGTGTAGGGAATACGCTGAGCGACAATGTTTGCTATTTCCTAATAACTGCACTAAACATCGTGCTTTCTTTCCCTGCCATTAGGAAGAGAACATACTTACAGCTTGAGATATGAAACAGTTTCATTTTATGGCACATTTTAATCATCTGAGGCCAAGTCAGGCTGGCTGAGCCTCACATGAAGGTCTGCTGGGAGCTAGGAAATTGGGCCGCAACTTCCCCTGGAAGGATCAGGACATTCTCTGGGCTCTGAGTCTATCAGCAGCAGGTGTTGGAGGGATCCTCCATTCGAGAACAGCCTAATGGGAAGGCAGTGGCTCAAATCCCGGGATGCCCACCAGCAGGCTCCTTCCTACTTCCTGGAAAGTCCCGATTTTAACAACCCCCAGGACCCATCATCGAGTGCCTGTGGCTTTCCTGCGGAATTTGAATGTTTGTGATTTCTTTTTCCTATGTAAGACCTGGAGGTGGTCCAGGGACGATAGAAGGTAGAGCCCAGGGGTGCCTGGGTGGCTCAGATGGTTAAGCGTCTGCCTTCGGCTCAGGTCATGATCCCGGCGTCCTGGGATCGAGCCCCGCATCGGGCTTCCTGCTGAGCGGGGAGCCTGCTTCTCCCTCTCCCTCTGCCTCTCTCCCTGCTCATGCTCTCTCCCTCTCTCTCTCTCTCTTTGTATCTCTGTGTCTCAAATGAATAAAAAAAAAAAAAAAAAAGAAGGTAGAGCCCAGGATATACCCGTCTGATGGGTGGAGTGCCGCAGACCATCCAGCAGTGCCGGGCACCACACGAGCCCCGGGGCGAATTTTACGGGCGAGGAGAACTTCCTACCTGGCATGAGTCACCAGTGTAGTCAGGGGGGCAGGCACACATCTCGACGTTATGTGCTCTGCGTCCACTTCCTGTGTCAGAGGCCTCCTCCAGCCCCACCCCGCTCAGAGAGAGCCGCTGGGTCTCAGTGAAGTAGAGGCCTCGGAGGCGCACATCTTCCAGTCTAGACAGTACCATCATCAGCTCTTCCCGGGACACCGGGGCACCGCTGCTGGCCTGTCGGAAGTTTCCCTACATGTGAAAACAGAGAGGCACGGTTTCCCTTCAGCAAGCTCACTTCCAGGGGTTTCAGAGAGGCAGACACCCAGCACAAGTCAAAGGAAAGACATTTACAATGCATATGGGAGAATAGAATAGAATAGAATAGAATAGAATAGAATAGAATAAGAAGATAGTGGATTTGTATTCAGAAGTCAGGTGTCCTAGGTTATTCCCAAGAAGAGAGTGCCACATGAAAGGGGAAAAATGAAGTCAGGAAATAAGGAACAGTAAAATGAAATGAGATTTCCCAGTGTTATACTTATTTTAAAATGTACTTTTGTGAGGGGTGCCTGGGTGGCTCAGTCATTAAGTGTCTGCCTTCGGCTCGGGTCACAATCCCGGGGTCCTGGGATCGAGCCCCACATCAGGTTCCTTGCTCGGCGGGGAGCCTGTTTCTCCCTCTCCCACTCCCCCTACTTGTGTTCCCTCTCTAGCTGTCTCTCTCTCTGTGTGTCAAATAAATAAAATTAAAAAATAAAATGTACTTTTGTGGGTGCAAGCACACACTGAGTGAGATTGATATGGGAGAGAGGCACATGGAAACCCACTGGGTCATGCTGTTAGATCATTCATTAAATGTAAATAATTGGGACAGAAAGCTCAATCTTTTCTTGCATATGCACATTTATATTATTTTATTTTACTTTTACAATGGTAAAAAAAACACATAATGTAAAATTTACCATCTCAACCGTTTTAAGTGTACAGTATAATAGTGTTAATTTTATTCACATTGTTGTGCAACAGATCTCCAGAACTTTATCACCTGGCAAAACGGAAACTCTGTACCTATTAAGCAATAACTCCCATTTCCTCCCTCTTCCCCCATTCCTGGCAACCACCATTCTACTTTCTGATTTTAAGAATTTGACTACTTTAAATACCTCATATAAGTGGAATCATGCAGTATTTGTCTTTTTGTGACTGGCTTATTTCGCTTAGCATAATGTCATCACATTATTCTCTAGCAGCTACCTACCTAGAACTGTCATATTCTAGGAAGTGACAGGATTATAGAATATTCCAATATATGTATATATCATATTTGCTTTATTCATTCATCTGTCAATAGACATTTCAGTTGTTTCCACCTCTGATCTACTGTGAACAGTGCTGCAATGAATATGGGTATGCAAATAGCTCTTCAAAACCCTGTTTTCAATTCTTTTGGATATATACCCAGAAGCGGGATTGCTGGATCATATGGTCATTCTATCTTTAAATTTTTGAGGAGACTCAATACTGTTTTCCACAGTGGTTACACTGTCTTATAGTCTCACCAACAGTACACAGATGTTCCAGTTTCTGTACATCCTCCCTAACACCTGTTATTCTGTCTTTTTATTTTTATTTTTTTAAAGATTTTATTTATTTATTTGACAGAGAGAGACACAGCGAGAGAGGGAACACAAGCAGGGGGAGTGGGAGAGGGAGA